AACAACAACGTTATTTTTATACCCTGTGGCTGTGGTTGGTTGCACCAGAGAGCTCAAATCATAATGCTAATTGGCTGGGGCCACACTTGGGGACCGAATTATTTCCAGTTTAGTTATTTAAATGGCCAGCATGAAATTTTGAATTTATGTCGTGGACACGATTGCCACCCATGCATTCAGGGTAATGGAATATGTCGAAATATCTTGCGCACTCTATAAAAACTTGCCAGAAAAACTAACCAACACCTGCCACACAGGCTAATCAAATAAGTGTATTTCAGCATTGTAGCAAACTTCTTAGCGAGATAATCGAGAGTCAAAGGTTACAACTTGCTGGTGGCCTGGCGTGATGCAAAGCAGTGTCTGACATCATACCACCAGCAGTCCTTGTTTGGCTTTCTTATTTCAGTTTCGTGTTTTTGGTGGTTTTGGCAAGATCTCCTTGGTGTCACTCTGCACTAAGGCTTTTGATCAATGATGGAAATCAATGATCAGCACACCATGAACCTGCATTACAGACCTTTTACTGTTAAAAAACAGTTATTTCCATTGAAGCACGGAAGTACCAAAAGTATTGGTAAACCTCTCTGTTCAGACACCTATAGATAGATAGAGGATATTACATGGTGGCGACAGAAGATACATGAAGTTTTTCTTGCCACTCAGACATGAAATTCATTTCTTCAAGCTAGTCATTTGTTTACAAAAGAGAAATGACTCAGACGTGGATGTCTCCTTAAAAGCTGCACAGTTGATTTCGGGGAGATGGCTAACAAATCCTCAGTCTTTCAAGATCGCAGTTACATAATCAATATTCTGCGTGATCTTTCTAATAAAATGTTGCATTTTTTTTCAGTAGCTGTATAGATAATTTAGTGTAATGTATTGAAGAGATTTATGTTCAACCTAAAAAGTTTTAATTCTTGGTCCAACTGATTATGACTTGTCCTTGCAGTTTATGCTGATGGTGGGATTTGCTTAGATATTCTTCAAAATCGTTGGAGCCCAACCTACGATGTGTCTTCTATTCTTACATCAATACAGGTTAGTTTTTTGCATTTAGTTGCACAGACTTCACTTAGAGTTAATATCAGTGCCATACATCATTGTACAGTATCTCCTTGAATAAGCGCCCATTTAAATTGCAGCTATAAGGATGGGCTCTTATTCAAAGGAGGGCGCTTATTATGTTTTCCTTTAAACAAACTAGAGAATGATTTAGTTGTTTACAGGAAGATTACAGCTTTTACCAAGAGAGTGGGCAATACAACAAAAATTAAAAGAAGAGATAATGCACAAAAAGGAACTCTGCAAGCACGCGTATAAATATAGAAATAACTGGATTTGGGTTAATAAAATACCTGTATGTTGAAACCATTTTGCCACACTGATCCAGTGGTTGTAGTTGAAGCCTAAAAAGTTAAAAATAAGGTGACCATAGAAGCTGGTTTTCCTTGTATCCCTACTACTGTTTTAAGAAAGTGAGGGGGAAAGGAGGGGGCACTGAATCATGGGGAAGGGGGGCACGTATTTGATATAATGGCCTTGGGGCTGGGTGCTTATTTGAGGGAGGCCGCTTATTAGAGCTTGAGTGCTTATTTGAGGAAATAAGGTATGTATTATCGTAACACCTCTTACCAGTCACATATCAATATTTTGAAAGTCACTTCAAATATGAGGCAGACATCTTCTGTTGGTATGACAGAACCATTCTACTGTCTTGGCCTGTATTATGGGGAGCAAGGGTATCACAGTAGTCAAAGGACTTGCCTCTCACCAGTGTAGCCTGAGTTCAAATCCTGGCATCTTGCTTTGCTCAGAGAGGTTTTTGTCTGGGTATTCTGGTTTCCCCCTCTCCTCGAAGATCAAATTCCAATGTGACCAGAACTAATTGTTAGACAAAGAACCATTATGTGTTTGTGCTTCTTCTAAATTGTTGTTTATTATTTATTTATTTATCCTGTTAGGAACTATCCTATAAGGCCCAGGTTAAGCTAATATGGGACAAGCATTTACTGGCAAAATTACTTTATAGTAGTTTGTAAGAAGAAAGGGTACTTGCTCCTCTGAGCTAGTCCCAGAAGCATTTGAATTCCCTGGTTTTGATTGCCCAGAAAATATTTTATTAGACAGGTTTTGTCATGCCACTGTTGCTTGCTTGTAAATTGTCAGATATCCATTTCAGTATTTTTGATTTCATCTACTCCCTTTCTTAAATTTTCATTCTTAAGGTGATTGCCAGTGATAACATGACATGTTATATCCACTCTAGCTCATAGTTTTCCCATTCACCAATTCATCCTGTTTGCCCTTAACCTGGGCTTATAACTCACAGCTTACACTTGAAGTGATTCTTTTGTTTCAACTTACAGTCTCTTTTAGATGAGCCCAACCCAAATAGTCCAGCCAACAGTTTAGCAGCACAACTTTACCAAGAGAACAAACGCGAGTATGAAAAGAAAGTAATTGCAATTGTGGAGCAAAGCTGGATAAATGCTTAATGATATTAAACAGACAACTCTTAGGACTCCATCTCAAAGGTTGCATTTCTTTGCAATCACTGCAAGCTTCTCTCTCTTAATTTAACAGTTTTGTTTGTATCTTTCCAATACTTCAGTGCTGTGACAATGTTATGGCAAAGGTGACTGAAAATTGAGCAGTTGTTATTCAGGTGTAGGTATTAAACTAATATGTAAATTTTACAATACTTTAGAATTATTGGAAGAATTTTGTACATCAGCAAGGTTTATTTCAAGGAGCACTTAATCATTATTTCTGTTCTGTGGGATTATACACTGCTAGCTTTGTTTGGATGATGTAACTTGGTGTAAATACAAAGAAATTACAATAACATTAAACACAGCAGTTTCAGTTGTTGTTATAGGCTTGCTTCTAAATGGGTGTGGCTTGGCCTTCTTTTAACCATTAACCATTAAAAATTACAACTTTGTTGCATGTAATATTCATGGTGTACAGTGCAGATCAGCATGTGTAATTCAAGCCTACAACACTATTGAACATAATTTTGTTGGCTCACCATAAGCACTTTGTCTGCAACAACGTTGTACTGTGTAAATTAGCCTTAAGACAGTGAAACCACAATGAAGCTACCCCCATTTTTTTCCACGACCCATTATAATAGTAAATATTGTGGACAAGAACCCCAATATAACCTACCCCTGTGACATCAGAGTACATTATTTTTCCATCGCCCTAACATTTGAATATTCTGGGCTTTCACCAACCCAGCACCTTGTTTTCCTCACAATTTCAAAGCAAAAGTCATGACAATTCACCAAAGAGGGAATGTCAAAAGCTACAGTGCAGGTAGCCTGAATTAAAGACGTTACTTTGAGTCGCTTTTGAGGGAGTATTCAGTAATCAACTCAAAGTAGTGTCTGAAATTGAGGCTACAGTGCAGGTATTTGGACATCTCTGCTCAGATTGACCCTATTTTTGGCCCCTACTACAAGCTATAAGTATGGAACCTTCCCACTCATCTTACAACACAGTAACTTTTATGTGGCTCATATATACTAAGTGGGGCTACACATTAGTCAAACCCTGCTTTAAGGACACCCACTTAAATACAGACACCTCATTATTACGGACAGTTTGCTTTGTCCCTAAAGAAACAAAGCCCCTACATTTTCTCTAAATTCAACCCGCTTAATATGGACACTCCGTTAATACAGACACTTTCTGTGGCACTCTCAGTGTCTGTATTAACGTTGACTGTATTAGTTTAATGACTCTAAACAGGGATCTTCTAAGGTAATTCCCTTGTTTTGCACTATACATCACCTACTGTGCATAACATTGTGACTTCAAAGGTGACAATGAATCTCACTTGTTGCATAAAAAGAAGTAACAAAGGCCCCCTTTTGTAATCAAAATGGTTTTAGTAGCGATTTTGATAACTCTACACGGCTAAAAAGGTGTTTTCCTTGAAACTCACCCCAGTCCCTTTGCGCAAAAAGGTCATTTGAAGCCAAAATTGTCCCTTTGATGTCTTTGTGTGATGAAATAAGAATGGTGACCCCCTTTTTATATTATTTTTGTGTTTTTTACTCGTTACGGCCACACACAAAATATATCTTACAGAGAAAAAACTTTGGATAGTAAAGGTTGTAAATTTTTAAATATGAATGACGTAAAACTCTGCAACTAGAACCACAGAGAAGTATGAGATAATGTTAAAACTGTCCATTTCTCTCCATTTTTTAAAGGTCAGATGATTTGAAGTAATATATCAAACATAGAACCACAGAGAAGTTGAAAATGAGATAATGTTTTCAAAAACTGTCTATTTCTATTTCTTCTCAAACAAAATCATTTTTGAAGGAGAAATTAAGGATGCAAAAATGAGCAGTTTTTCATCCGATATCCAAACACTCATTAAACATTAATTTCCTTTGAATTTTCTTTATGAATTATTAATGAGTTTGAGAAGTCATTTTACTGAATGGCCCATACGAAAAAACAGGTTTTAGGTTTTAGTAAGATTCATATTTTTTGCCATGTCATAAATTGATGGTTGTTTAAGTTTTGACTATTTTGTGCGCAACTGGGAAAAGACTCTCAGAATAACGGGCACACATAGCGAAAACAAGCACAGTGACCCCATCTTTCTATTGCAGTTTTTGATTGTTCTATATATGGCTGACAATTGTGCCAAGTTTGAAAGAAATCTGGATAGTACATCCTTTTCAAGGGAATTACCTTAAAGAATAATTATACGAAGGCTCTCTAGTGGGTGAAGGGTTTGAGGAGAAGAGAAAAAGAGCGAAAGACAAAGGCTAAAGACAATCGGAAGGCTGTAAAGTAGCAAGATTTGTTACTTTCCAAAGTGACAGTATTACTCAAGGTCGAAATACAAATGTCATTTATTTATTTCTGTACATTATTTTAAGGCAGTCAAAGATTCTGCCAGTTTTATAAGACACATTCATTTCAACTAATCTAATAACAAAAATAAATAAGCTATCAGACACAATCATCCCTGATGATATTTTCCACTTTGAGCTGAATAATATTATTGTCATCTCCTGGGTCCTTTCTTCTTTGCAAAATGATGGCTTAGTTCATTTGGGGACATGCTCTGATCTACATGAGATTTTGGAACATTTGAAAATGGTGACTCAGTGTAACCATTGTAGAATAGAAATACTCTTTTGGTGTACTCAAATGAGAGGAACATGATCCCAGCATTTGGGGCAATCTGTAAATAAGAGAAAGAAAAGAGCAACTTACTCATGAATTTTGTCTAAAATGACAATTTCGGTATGACATTAGCCTGCAAGCAGCAAACCAGCTGCCTGTTGAGGTTTCACTTACTAATTTGCACAAGAGGTTTAAGTGCTAGCAAAGGGGATTGTACAGTGCATTTCCTGAAAATAGGGACCTTAAGCTCCGAGGACGGTCACTGAAAAAGTGAATTTGCATTCCTTCAATCTTCATTGCGATTACTCCAAGTCACTAACTTTGTCAAATGTAGGTGAACCCTCCTAAAGCTGAATTCCTAAGAACCATATCCAAGTTCGGAAAGAGAGAGGAAATTTTGTTGTCGCTTGTATACTTCCTCTGTAAAACGTGAAATGAGGCATTTTCACATTGTAGTTGTGTACAAAAAGTGTGATGCAAATGCAAAATTGTTGTTTTGGTTATTAAACCTATTGCTTTTTTGACATTCTTGTTGCTGTCACTGTCATCGGATCTTAAGGTCTCTAATATCCTCACCTACTGGTACTTCAAGAAGACTGTTTGAAAATCTGAATTGAAATGTGAGGAAAGAGAGTACTCAAAACTGAATAATGGTATCCATCATTGATTTTTGGTATACACTTGATGAGTAGGCAGAAGGTGGAAAAACCTTAAGCCTGTGTAGTCTCCCACACCGAGATTCTTTTGGCTTGTCATGCAATCCTCCCCAATGAACATGGGGAAGGAACGTCTGACAAAGCCCTAAAAACATCTGCAAGGGAGGCTATAGTCTACGAGCATGCTCTCCATTTTGAGTGGTGAGTGAAGTAAGCTGTGAGGGAACATGCAAGTGAGGTTTAAGCGTTAGCTGCTTGTGTGTGTGACTTCTCATGACATCCCTACAAATGACAGCCAACTTCCTTGCAGGCTAGCAAAGCTGACACCAAAAGAATGTGTAAGTTTGAAGTGTGGTTGATGGAAATGATATTGGATCTTTCCTTGGCAGATACATCATGTTTGGTTGGCAGAATTCTTAGGCCAAACAGTTTTTATTATTCTCATGCACCATGCAAAACCAAACAAATTAAAATACATAAAAATGTCCACCTTTAAAAGGTTAGCTGTTAGTCCTCTCCACAAGCCAGTAACCCCATTTATTTTCACTGTTTGAACGAAAGCACTGGTCATTCCTTTGAACTGGATATCAACACCACCTTGATTTGGAAGACTTTTACTTCTTGCCTGCCACACAAATCCAAGTTAGCTTTTACTTCTACCACTGATAAGTAATTTGCTACAATACATTTTGCAAATCACAAGTTTTCAACCAAACAACAAAAATATATTCTTAAGTATCTATTGTATTGACAGTTTTAAGAAAATTCTGTCAAACCTAAAATATGAAAAGCTCGAGAGCGAAGATTTATGGTAACAAAGTTGCTTTTAACATAGTTATGTAACTCCTGGGGTTGGGTGGCACGTGACTTGCATTTAAGAACTTTGCCCCGGAATCCCGGGGGTACTCCCTAATATGGGCTATATAGGTATGTGCGGCCCCAGAGGGTAGGGTTTTCAGCCGTTTTGGTCATAAATTGGGTATCGATTTTGGCTATTTTGCCGCCATTTGTCATAAATAGGGTAACGATTTTTTGCACTGTAGTCTTGAATGCACCTTTTAGAAGAAGCTACTTCCTTATCATGTCCCCCTAACCTAATAAAAGCAGATAAACATTGCCTTTAACATTGGTCTGAACTAGGGAAATAATTATAAGGCAGGTCTGAAACAGGGTATTGATTTAAGGGTCAGGTCATAAATAGGGTATCAAATTTTTGGTTAGGTCATAAATAGGGTAGGGAAAATCGCAGATTTTGGTCATAAATAGGGTAAGGGTTTTGGGAAGCGGGCGCACACCCCTACCCAATTTTTCTGCGAGTACCCCCTTCCCCCGGCCTGGAAAAATTAAAGGTGGATGTTACAGGTCAAAATTGAATTCAGGTTAAAATTTTGTAACCTGGGTTGATTCTAAATTTCCATTGTCTCCTAGCTCTAATTATCCATGGATATTTAGGGTTAAGGAGACAAAGAAAATTGAGAATCAACTTATGTTAAAAAATTTTAACCTGAATTCAATTTTGACCTGTAACATGGACACCATTTGAGGAAAAAAATTGCATTCTGTAGGATAGAGTAAACACGTGCATATAAGCACCTACTTTTTTTTTGAAGTCTGGCAAAATAGGTTCTTGTACTTTGAGGTATTTATTGCCAATTTAGGCTAAGTAGGTTCTTAATTTTTATGAAGAAGATTATTTATTCACAATTGTACTATGATAGGTGTAACAAAACTGATTATGTAATTTATATGCAGTTCGGTATAGTATGTTCTCATTATACTTAAATATACAATCTCAAGTTACACTCCTTGTTTAAAATGTTTATCACAATAACCCACATATAAGAACCTACTTGATCTTGCCTGGGTGGAGAGGATCTTGTATTTTTGGGTATTAAAATGGCAAAAAATGAGGTTCTTTAAATCCCCAGGTTCATATATGCTGGTGTTTACTGTTTCCCATAGGCCAGTACTTTCAGTCAGAGTGAGGAGCACTTTTGTTCTGAAAGCTTTTGACTATTTCAAATGACCTTTAAAATTAATATACTGGGAAACTTTGCCCACCTAACATTAATTAATTGTCAAACAGCACACTGTAAACCTTTTCTTGCCCACACATTGAATCCAAGAGCATGCTTGAAACTAACCTGCATTTTCTTTCTTATTGTATCAAAAGGAAACGACAAGGTCTGCAAAAGAAAAAATTCAAACTTAAGTGACATAACCATAATTATTTACTTTTGACACATAAATGCAGTGTGACAGATTGGTTATTTCAGCTTTCTTGGAGACCCAGAAGGGGATGATCTCACCTGGATTGCAGGTTTAGTTTATTGGAAAAATGGCATATTCCGTCAGTGCCTACTCTTCACCAAAACCAGTTCCTGAAGCATCAAGATTCCCTATTCTGATTAGCCTGTTCCAGGCTCTGAGATGGTAGGGTCAGCAAAATTGAAAAAGCACTAACACGAAAATAAAACAACTCCCTTTTCCCAGATCACATGCTCATATTTTTGCATGCTTTTCACTTATACGCCATGCCTACTCTGCCTAGTGTCTGAGAGCCAAGAACAGGCTACTATTCTGATTGCCTAGAAAAAGCTCAGGGTCTCTTCCTTTCCTCTTGTGAACTCTGCAATGATCTTACCCATACATAATGACAAGAACAACAACAACAATAAGAAGAAGAAGAATAGGAAGAGTAGGGTACGTTCAACTAAGGGAAAGACCTTAGGTCTTAAGTAACTACCTTTACAGATACAGATACTCTGATTGTAGGATCCTGGTTGGTACATATGGTTGTAGCAAACCTCAATGTGGACAGGCGATAAAAATCTTGTTGTGATTAGCTGCGTCACTGAAGATTTGGTATTTGTTACCTCAGGATCCTTTAAGGCAACTCCCAAGAGGGAAGGGGTGCTCGATCAGGGAGTGCACTCTTTCTTATTAGAACTCCATTAGATAATAGGGAGCTTATGCAACAACAATGGCTACGAAAACATCACTTAAAAGGTGTGTTCAAGCTGCTTCAAACTTTACCGCGCTTCTTCCATCTCATTCATTTCGTCAAATGTTGGTGAATTTTTGGGACTAAAGGACTATATCAAAGTTCAGGAAAAGAAAAGGAGGGTCGTTGTCTTCTCTTCACGTCCTCCACAAAACGTGAAATTAGGCAGTTTCAAGTCGTAGTTTGCAACAATGGCAAAGAAATGTATGAAAAAGCATGATGCTTGTGCAAAGTTGTTGTTTTGCTAAACTAAAACTATCGCTTTTTTGCTGTTCTCGTTGCCATCACCATCGTAGTTGCTTACGCTCCCTAATATGTAATTGAGCACTACCTACTGTAGGTGCTTTCAGACCTGGCTTAGCCACTTTGTATGTGTTCTGATCATTCAGTGGCAAATTAAAAAAGCTGCTGATGTATGAAAATTTGTTGACAGGCAAAAACTTCCTCACTGCCTACAAGATTTGTGTACACAAGTAACAAGCAAATAAGTAACCTTTGCAAAAGCAGCAGCCAGGCATCCACTAACAAACATGTAAACAGGAGTTAGCTGGTCTCCTGGAGGCTTAGCTATGGAACTGTCTAAAAGACTGTATGCCAAATACGAGCCTCCAGCAAATGGTATCACACCTGAAATGAAGATGTTAGCTCTGTTAGCACTGTTTAAAGAAATGTTTAATCAAAAAGAAAAGTTAGTCTAGATATCATTTCAACCCAGTGAAGAGTCAAGGGTGAAATTGCTGGGGTTCAAAAGCCACAAAAATACACTCATCAGACCAAATAAATTTTTAATAAATTAAAACCTATTTGCTTTGGAAGTTGAAGTCTACCAAGATTGGCTTACTAGAAAATAATGTGTAGTGGCAAAAAAAGCTTAAAGTGGTTGGCTGTAAAACCGTTCCAACATTTAGCAAAAGTTTTTCTTTTTGGCCCCTCCAATAAAAAATCAGAGGACCTGCCTCTGCAGCCCATGATATTGAAACTCTATTGTACGGCCATCCTCACAAAACATCTCATTTCCTGTCGCCTTCTCTTTCATGAAGGTGGGTCAGTCAGTCTTTGGAAAAAAAGAAAAGAAAAGTAACCAAAGGGGCGTGAGTCCAGGAAAAGCCAGGATGCAAAGTAGGGAGGCACGATTTTACCATGCTTTGTAGGTACTTTCAGACTGTTTTGTGCTCTTGCTTCACTATGGTTAGAAAGTGAAATAATTATGCTTATTAGACTAGTATGTATCTGGTTTGTTGTTTAATTTTCTAAGCAAATGGGAGACCACGTGTCTTGTAGGGGCTGTCGACTGACGTATCAGCCAATATTTCAGTTGAATGTCAGTTGACATATCAGTAGCTATATCAGTCGAGTGTTGGTTGAATGTGGGATGACTGTCAGTGGAGAGTTGGCCCCAGTTGTTCAAAATTTGGATAGCACTATCCACCAGATAAATTGCTATCCAGCGGATAAGTAGTAAGTGCGTTATCCGCTGGATAGCGATTTATCCAGTGGATAGCACTATCTATCTTTTCAACAACTGGAGCTTGGTCGACATATCAGCCGAGTGGCATTTCACTGTTGGTCAACTATTGGTCTACAGATCGACTGACAGTCGGTTGTGATAGCATCGGTAGTGTGTCGGCAATGTATCAGGGAACCGTCAGTCAAGAATTGGTAAGGTATCAGTGGTGTATTGGTTGTCAATGACATAACCTGTACAACTTGTTTTTCCAACCTCATCTTTAAGGCTTTTCCCTTTGTTACAAGGTAACTGTCAACTGACACATGGTGGACACTACTGCTCATTACACATGTCAGCTGCATCAGATACCAGATTGATCAGTTACAAAATTCTGGGCTATTTTCATGTATCGGCTGACACCTTAGTTGTCTGTTGGTCAACATATCGGTCGCTATACTGCTTGAGTATGGTCGAGTGCTGAGTCTGGCAAGAGTTAGTCAATATACAGACCAACATGTCACGGCTGACTCTCTGTCGAGACTCATTCAAGACCTGGCTGAGACTTGACCAAGACTTATCCAAGACTCAACCGACGCTTGACAAAAATAGAGACCGATATGTCGACTGACAGTCAACCCAGATGTCGGCTGATACCCGTATATCGGTCACTGACCCTGTATAAGACACATGATCCCAAATAGGTTGGTTGGGCGATAGGAAACAAAACATGCTATGGGGAAGGCCTAAAAAAATGCCATGTTTTCTAGACACTACATACAACAACAAGCATTGTTGTTGACTTGGCCCTGTGTTCCTCGAGGAGCGAAAACACTCACCCAGGAATGTTGGCAACAAGCCTTTGTACAATGCTAGGAATCCTTCTGCTTTCCAAACTTTTCTGAAGCCATGAACTATGCCACGATAATGTGATTTTGAAGGATTGACATTCTGGACAATAAGTCTGGTTTTAAGCATATCTGCTGGATACACTAAAAATGCTGCAATAAGGGCACTTCCTGATCCTGCCGCCATCGAGTAGGTACCATTGAGATTTCCTGGGGTAAGCGGATCTTCCAGCAGGGCCTGCAAAATAAACACGTCTATCATCACAAAAATTTCACTGTTGGACTAACCAGTTTTTAATAGGTAATAAGCTTACCAGCATTTTATGAAAGGCCGCCAATTGAACAGCACTGTAAGGCACGAGACGCAGGCATGAGATACCGTTACCCTTCCAGAAAGCCTTCAGACCTTCGCTCTGGTAAATTCTACCAAATGATCTGACAAAACCTAAGCGCGTTTCCGGTGTTCCAACTTGCGCCAAAACTTTGACAACTTCGAGAGGGGATGTGAGAGTCCTTGAAAGCACGCCTGCGATTCCTCCACAGAAAAGGCTCTGAAGAATCGTTAACCTTTCATCTTCCGCGGGTTTCACCATTTTAACCCATTAGGGTTTTTTTGAAAATGCTCTGGAACTTTCACTGTTGTTTCGACCTGTTCGCACGTTTCGTGCAAATCTGGCAGCCATATTTATTGAGATTAGTGGCGTGATGTCGTGATACAATGGTATCTAGAATCCAGGTTCCTCTCAGTTGTCAAAATTTCTCCCGCCAAATTTCGCTAGTACGTTTGATAGCGCGGGATAACGCGGGATAGCGCGAAGGTTCCTGCGCGTTTTGCTCTTATTTTAGTAGGACCATTCATCATTACCTTCCCTTTTTCAATTCAGTCCTAAGCTACAGCTTCCATGTCGTAAAATTTTGTTTTAGTTTTCCAGTAAATAATAAATGGTCACCTTTCCCGTGAATTTCTTCTTGTCTTCACCTCAACAGTTAAACCTCAGTTAATATGGACATGCACACACTGATGGTAGGGGGCCATAGAAAGTGTCCGTATTAACGGGGTGTATGTATTAAGCAGGTTGAAGTTTGAGAAAGTATAAGGGCTTTCTTTCCCCAGGGACAAAACAAACTGTCCCTAATCTGTAATAAGGTGTCCGTATTAAGCAGGTGTCCGGAAAGAGGGATTTGACTGTACGGGCACTTTGTCACGATCTAACAAATGCAGCTAAATGCGCCGATCACTTCGAAACTTCAACATCCCCCTAGCCCTCAGGGCAAACCCCGGATATTTGACCATCACTTATAAAGGGGCAGTGGGGATTTTGACCTTTGCTTGCGTAGGGTGGGGAATTTGAACCGCGAATGTCAAGTTTAACTTGTTTTACGGT